TCCCTACAGCATCTGGTCCAGGGAACTTCTTTTTTCAATTTGGCTAATGAAAGGAAACCATCCAGAACCCAGAAAATGCAGACTTGCTCAGTTTAACCTCGAATGTGGGTGGACACAGTTCGCCTCCTCCCTTCATTATGATCCACGTACTTAGAGCAGTTTCGTTTTCTCAGTTGGATACCCGGTGTCTGTGTGAGTGGGGTGAAGGAAAGGGAGCCAGTGCCGAAGACTGCGGGTAGGGGAGGGAGGTGGGGGGTGGACAGGGCAGCTTGTGAATTTTTGTTTTACTGTTTAACTTTATTAAAAAAAAAAATTAAGAGAATAAAATGTTTTGACCCTTTCTGGCACTTTGCTCTGGCAGCTGCTTTGTGTCACTCCAGAGTCAGTGGGCCAGAGCTGAGCCCTGAGCACGGAGCTGGTGCCCACGTGGACTTCAGGCTCAGCGAGCCACCCCACGAGGGGTGGGGGCACCTGGGGGCAGGTGGGATGCTGGCTGCCCCCAAATCGGTTTAGCATGGGAGTGCTGAGCAGGCCCTGGGGATGCTGCCATGCTCAGCCTGATGCCAGTCATGAGGCAGCGAGTTCAGAAAACACATTTTATGGTAGGGCCACCAGAAATCACTAGAAGTTGCATGTGTCCAAAGTGGGTGCCAGGCGTCAGGCTGGGCTAACTCAGAGGTTTACATGGAGAGTTCTCACTGCTTGAGGGAGATGGTGCCAAGGACAAAATTCTGCCTTCTTGATCCTCAGACCCTTTCCAAGTGGGACAGGCAGCTCCTGGGTGCAGGGATCTGGGCGCTGACATCAGCTCACTTAGCTGGAAACACCATTCTTAGCAAACGCCCCTTGCCTTCTCCACTGGTGTCCCTTCCTGTATGGGAGGCAAGCAGGGGGAGGAAGCAGTGGTATATGTCATGCTGTTCAGGTCAAGCTTTTGTGTCTGTGGTGAATAATTTCAGTTCCAGGCACACACACTTGAAGCATTGGCTGAAGCTCTGATTTTTGGTGCTTTGGGTAAGTAGAGATGGCTGGGTAAAGACCTTGGCCCAGATAGCTATTTCTCTTCCATCTGAGCCTCTGCCCCTTTCTTTTCAGTCTTCCCCCTTTAGTGCCAAAGCCGTGCTGAAATGCTGACTGCATTAGGCCTGGGAAGTTCCCATGTAGCCATCCAGGCCCTGTTGGCTTGGAAGAGTCAGCTCTTCCCTTGTGTTTGAAGTGGCACTGATCTGAAGGTGGCCTTCCCTAGAGAACCGCAGGCACACCTGTGGGCCTGTGCCCAGTTGCTGGGGGGTGGCAGCTCTGTGCTCCACGTCCCTCACACTGGCCAACTCCCACTGCCTGTGTGCATCCGAGACCAGCCTCTCTCCCTTCTACCTCCTCATGAAAGCCAACACTGTTCCACTGCCCAGCCTCGCCACAGCTGTGCTCAGCCCGCAGAGGGGAGACAGGACCGATGGCCCCAAGCTGGGGGACAAAGGCAGTCCTAATGCACCCTGCCCTTGCCCCAGGGAAGACTGAGCTGGGCACAGAGGGTGAGAGAGACTGCACGCAGCTAGGATTAACACGATTTATTTCATTATCAGTCTTACAAGTTGCTGAGGTTGGGCAAAGCCAGGATAGTAACTAAAATCCCGGGCACTTCTGTCAAGTGACAACCCGATTAGCAAGGCCCTGTTACTGAGCAGAGGGCAGCGGAGGGCACCCCAGGAACCAGCACCTGCAGCGATGTTAAAAGCCCCTTCCCAGAGGCACCGGGTGGGGCTTGGCGCGAAACAGCTGGGGGCCGCTCCATTGGCTCTTGGTACCCACTGACCCCCTTTAGCGGAGGCACAGAGGCCTCCAGAGGCACCAAGGAGGCAAGATGGGCTGGGCAGACAGCAAGATTGGAGCTTTCCCACCAAGGCGCTGTCTCTGGCCCTGATCTCCCCATCCACACGACAGAGCTACGCCCCTGGAAGGATGGCAGCCCACCCGCTTCCTAGGGTGAGACCCGTAGCCAGCCTGGGATGTGGCTGCTGCTTATTCTGTTTTCTTCCCTAATATCAAACTGTTACCTAGTTACAGTGTGAGGAGGAGGGGACAGGCACTTAGGACCAAAGGTGGAAGGTAAAAACCCCTTTTCTACCCCGGTAAATAGCCCCAGGCTTCCTGGGGCTACACTGATTAAGAAATGGGATCAAAGCCCAGGGATCATCCTGTCTCAAATCCACCACTAGTCTGTGGCCGTGGTGACCACCCCGCGAATACGAGCAGCGCTGGGGTGTCCCTCCCCACTAGCCGGCCCTGTGTGGGGCAGTGGGCCTAGGGGCCCAGCAACTATAAGCGGGGATTGGGGTCGTGGCTTCGGTCCAGGCCCAACTCGGCCCAGCCTCATCAGCTTTGGTCCAGGTTCCTGAATGGCGCCTACCCACCCCCTTGTGTTGAGAGCTTGAGCGTTAGAGGGGAAGGGGGTAGGCAGGAAAAAAGCAGTTATTTTACACGTTTTTAAAAAGTTACAAGAAGGTTAACTGAGTAAAAAAAAAAGAAAAAAAAAATCTTAAACCAAAAATCAAGCAGAGGGACGCTTCCCTCTCCTCCCCATTCCCTTGTAAAGAGCGGGGGCCCGTGGCCCGGGAACACTCAGATGATGGTGCAGGACTGAAAGGCGCCACCCTTGCGGCCGCCCCGTGTGGGCACGGCCTTGCCCTTCCCGTAGTACCCCGTGAAGATGGCCCTGACCTCCATCTTCTTGGCCAGGTTCAGCATCCAGCGCCCACTGCCCAAGGAGTAGAGCTTGCCCCGGCTGAGCTCACCCACCTCCTCACCGCGGTTACCCCCCTTCTCCTGCTTCACAATCTCTAGCAGGTCAATACCCGTCTGCACGGCTTCCACGTCACCCGCGCAGCCCAGGGTGATGTGTGCGCGGCTGCCCCGCGACAGGCTGTCAGAGGGGGACAGCTTGTCCACGTCGTTCGGCCACAAGGCCAGCTCCTGCTCACTCAGCTCTACCCGGGCTCCCGTCGTCTTGGGTGTCACAAAGAGGGCAGAGATGGTCAGCGTGAAGGCCTTGCAGTAGGATTTCTTCACCACCTATGGAGAGAGGACAGAGGACTGAGCTGGAGGTGGCAGCATCAAGAGAGGGACAGTGAGTGCCACCGAGAAGAGCCCGCAGACATCCACATCCATGGCCATGTGCTGGGAGGATGTCTTTCCACTGACACTGTCCAGGCTGCTTGAAAAAATGAAGGTGGCAGAGAGGCAGGAGAGAGCAGGCGTGAGACACAAGGCTCCCTGAGCTCAGGCCGGGCTCCCCACCCACTAGCTTCAGGGCTCATTCACCTGTAAGAGACAGCTGAGGCTAGGACCTTCCTCAGCATGAGGACTAAAGAAGAGCCTGGGGCTTCCCTGGTGGCGCAGTGGTTGGGAGTCCACCGGCCGATGCAGGGGACGCGGGTTTGTGCCCCGGTCCGGGAGGATCCCACATGCTGTGGAGTGGCTGGGCCCGTGAGCCATGGCCGCCGAACCTGCGCGTCTGGAGCCTGTGCTCCACGGCGGGAGAGGCCACAACAGTGAGCCCCCGATCCCCAAAAAAAAAAAAAAAAAAAAAAAAAAAAAGAACAGCCTGACAAGGGCTATTGTCGTTACTACTTGACTCACCCTGTAAAAGCACCCTGGTATCCAGGCACTATCCTGGAGGGTGGGGTGAGGTCAGAAATAAAGGACTTTGATCAAAATCTACTCCATACACTTTGGCTTACATTATATCTGATTCTCTGAAAAAAACCATCTCTCCGATTTTGACCATAAAATCTTCCCTATTTTGCTCACAGCCCCTGGTCCTAACAGTGTCTAGTGCATAACAGGTGCTTAATAAACATTGCTAAACGAATGAACAGAGATGGGAGTGAAAGTGCTGTGTTCATTCATGCAGTTGTGGTAGGTGCTAAGGATACACGGTGAACCACACTGTAAATAGTGCTGCCCTCAGGGAGCTTCCATTCGTGTGGGAGGAGACCAATGAATAAACAAGTAAAATGGCTGCCTTAACCTAGGCAGAGAAGTGGGGGAGCTGGCAGAGGGTCAGGGACAGCCTTGCTGTGAAGGCAACCTGAAGGAGGCTGGAGTTGACCACACCCGGTGGTCAGGGATCCCATGTCAGAGGCTGTGGGCGGGAGACTTGGGCTGTGTGGCAGGGACGGGGCTGGTACCCCTAAGCCAATAAGCCTCCCTGCTGACACTCCCCACTTCAGAGCGCAGCCAGGCCTCAGACTGGGGGTAAGGGACTTCTAGCCTTTGGAACTGAACACAGGCTTAGAGGCCAGAGCAGGAGCTGCTGCCAACCAGCATTCTCTGCGCATCTGCAGAAGGAACAGGCTCTGATGAGCAGGCCCTGGGGGGCACTACACAGGGTTCGGTGAGCTGGGGATGGAGCCGCCTCTTTTCCTGAGAGGCTGTCTGGTTTGTGGTCCCTGCCTTGAGCTGGTACCCATCTCCAGAAGACCCTACCCTCTCCCCACCTCAGCCAGGTGTCCCCAAGGAGCACTCACATCCTGCTGGGCGTACTCGTCTGCCCCAGCGGCCTTCCCATAGTCACAGAACTTGGTTGTGCAGTGCAGCACGCCCGGGGGTCTCTTCCCAAAGTAGGTGACCAGTTCAATCTTCTCCCTGGGCTCATCCCCAGAGACAACTGAAGGGAGAGAGAGTGGGGCAGTCAGGGCGGGAGAGCAGGGGCATTGCAACATCTATCACCAAGACCATGGGAGACCCAAAGGAAAAAAATCGGACATTAAGTACAAATTTGCAATCCACTATAATTGAGCAATCCACTACCATTCATTAGTTGGTCAAATTAATAGCAACTTTGGAGCTATGAAAAGGTGTTGATATAAGTTCCCTGCTTTATGTTCTGCAGATTATTACGTCTCTTACCCAGATGTGAAATCTAAGGCACTTGTAACCTAGGGGTAGGTGGCATATGCCAAGGGAATCTGAACTTCACTAGCTACACATCTGAAAAGAGGGAAGCAGGTCATGAAAAATGGGGTAGAAAGAAAAAAGAGGTTGGGAACTGTGTGGTATAATGGAAGGAGCCAGAAACAGCATAATTAACATCCAGCCCACTTCCAAGCCTGTGGAGCTGGGGCAAGTGATTGACCCTAATCTGTCAATCAAATACAACTAGGGGTGACCCAGTTTTCCCAAGACCACCTAGGTAACTATTAGTCGTGCCCCATTTCACTCAGGGGCCACCTGAACAAGAAGTTACCTGGTCACTGTAATAATAGGTAGCTTCCAGCCTCGTTTGGTGGAAGAAAGCCTACAATGGGCCTGGTGCAGGAAGGGTCTTGGGAGATAACAGGATGACATTATGTGGCTGGT